TTAAAATCGGCAACCTAAGCCCCGGAACTAGGAGTGGCGAACCACATAAAGCCCCGATAGGCTAGGTTATGCTCAGTCGGCTCCAGCCATTTTGCTCCACCACAGAAAACACTTATTACATCCTCTAACCTTTAGCTGGGCGATAAAACCTCCCTCCTTGCATCCTCAAACCAGGACATCTTCCGTATGAGGTTAGATGAGCCGATGACAGAGATTCGGATAAAACTCTTTCGTAAGCCGATAGGCTAGGTACCATTCATGAACGGGCCGTAGAACTCGAGAAAATGAAAGCTGAAGTAACCGCACTCGTTGACCAGGTTGCTAGCCTCAAAGACTTCGTGCTGAAATCACCGGCACGTTCGGTGGGGGGCCAAGAAATCAAAGTCTCCTAGCAGCAAGTTATTGATAGAGCTAGAATCAGTTCAGTTCGGTTTTTACGACCATCAACCATGCACTTTCGTGTGCCGGTTTTAGTTGCTGTCTTTTGGCGTCCCATTTGGATAAAAGAGCAGAATGAAGAGTGGAATGCTGAAAGCAAATCCAAGTGGAAGTTGGAGAATGCATACAGAGTAGTGTTAGGAGAATCATCTCACGAACTCCTTAACGCCTCAGGAAATGTAAAAGTGGTTTTTAAACATCTGGATACAACGGTTTTTAAGCCCAGCAAATGTTCGTCGTTTATTTCGAAGAAATCCAAAACTTTTCACTGTCTCTTGATGGCAGATATAGGCTTCCTTGGCACAGCCCGTTAGCTTCTCACATTTGCACTTTCCGCAGAAAGATCCTGCACAGGACTCAGAGGGGTATCAGTTGATAAGTCTCCGTATGATCGGAGGTGGCTGTCTAGGATTGCGGCTGGTCACTCTCCTTGCACCTCGCGAAACGCTCTCATACGACCAAGCGTCCCTAGTAGCCTCCGCTGAGGAAGCCCTACTCATTGCCTTCTCGCGGCGGTGTTTTCCCACCAAACTGAGAGGACGAAAAGTCGATATCCGGGGCTATGACCGGGTTGGTGGACCACTGGTAGTTCACCTAGAGGAGTTAGCCAAAAACCCTGATTCCAAACTTACTAAGGGGAGGCGTACGAACCACACACCTTCCCGGTTGTGGCGGTTGTGGTCGCCGGCTTGATTGAGCACCTTGGGCTTTTGACCCCGTCCAAAGGGCGAATGATCTGATGAACTGGACACCAGCCCCCATCGGCTTTGGATAGCCAAAGGCTCTGGTTGTGGATTCCTCAATAGAATTCACCTGCCCTGGGCGACCTGGGAGCATTCCGCCACACGCAAATCATGGAACGTCTTTCTTTTCCATAAAGATTATTGTATCATGATTTATTTGGCAGTCTGGATTCAGACGTGTGTGAAAATATAATAGTATAATAAGCTGATAAACCGCTACACCTTANNNCGCAAAGCAGAACGCTTTTTTTCTACTCCGCCAAGGACTCCAAGCTTGTGCCGGTTTTACTTTTTAAAACTGACCCAATCACCGCCCGTCTCGCCCAAAGTCCTCCCCCAGGTAGCACAGCTTCGTTTGTTATAATAATGAGGATATCATCAAGGAAAGTGAACACAAACCTCGGAAAACATTGTTAATGAAGCATCGAAAGGTTTGAGAGTCAGTTCGCAAACTAAAGGGCATGTGAAGAAACTCCAAGAAACCAAACGGCGTGATCACCGCGCTCTTAAGGATGTCAGCTGGGTCAACTGATATCCGGTGATAAGCACGCACCAGATCAAGTTTGGAAAAGATAGTCTTTTGGTGGTAGACAGCTTTGCTGCCGTCCGGTTCAATACCACACCCAACCTAGCGGAACCCTATGTGGTTCGCCAATCCAAGTCCCGGGGCTTAGGCAACCGGTTTACGTGACGGAGCAGCAGGTCTTCGTGACTATGGGTTTCGCTCCGTCTGCCGTTCACCACACAAATGTGTAATAAATAAATAAAAATTCTTGCTTGGAGGCAAGCTGCGAAGTCATGAATGTGCGGGATGGGATAGCGGTCACGGACAGTAACCCTGCTGAGAGCACGATAATCACCACAAGGAAGCCAGTCTGCAGAGTCCTTCTTAGGAATAATATGAACCGGCGAAGCCCAGCTGCTGTCTGATGGTCGAATGGCTCCAGCTTTGAGTAGCCGGTCAAATTCTGTCTTCGCGACACGGAATTTATCCGGCGCTAGACGACGAGCGCGTACGAAGACTGGGGACCCAGACGTACGAATGGAGTGGGTGACTGGCGTAGTCCCAGATGGATGAATATCCGAAGATTGGGGAATAGACAGACAGCAACTCACCACAAGGACCAGGAGGAAGCTTGCGAAAAATGGGACTATTGGAGTTTAACGTAGTTGCTTGACAATGGACAGTAAAATTACGTTCCTGGTCAGTCAAGCGACAACGGATAGATTGAAGTGCTACAGAAAATCCGTTCCAAGAATAGTGAATGGAATATCGGCAACGATGAAGTCCCGAGTGATCACTTAGGGCAGGTAGAAGTCTACCGTGAGCCGTCCACTACCGTAAGTCTTAATAGGAGTTCCATTGGAAGCGAACAATGAGACTGACTTCGGCTTTCGTATCTAAATGAGCCCCAGTAAGCCTATCTTGGAGGTGAAAGAGGCGGCTACCGGGTTTAGGACCAATGGATGTTGCCGCTCCTACCCGTTAGCCATTCCTTTTCCCTGTTTTAGTGACACCGAACACTGGTACGGGGCACTGCATCTGCGTGCTTGGGCACCCCACCCGAGAGCAGTCTGTGGGGGGCAGGCTGAGGGCGAACGCTTAGAGCTACCACGTGACTGGCTGTGGGGCCGGTGGGATCGTTGAACAGGCTTTGAAGTGGTCTGTTCAGCCCTGCCTAGGTGAGCTGAGATGACCGCAAGCTGAGTGGTGATCGCGCTGGACGGGTCGGGTGTGTCAGCTATCATCATCATCATCGTACAGCGAGATACAGTGAAGCTCCATAGCTAGCTCTGTCAGCTATGGTAGAAAAGCTAAAGGAGTTACCTTTCGAGTAAAGCCATAACGCTGTCGGCTACTCCGGTTGAGGTGGCAGCCAACGAATGGTGCCAGGACCATACAGAGCATTCGGGAGCCTTTGGAC